AGTGATGTTGGGATTTTCCTTTTTCTTTAAATTTATTTCTCCCTGGGGGTTATCCATCAGATACGCAAAAAAGAAAATGACTCATGGCCTTACGTAACTCTTATGCTCATTCCTATGTTTTCAATACGTGTCCTACTCCTCACCAACTCTACATACAATCAAAACACAAGACGAAAAATACCAGGGGCCGAAATATAACCCAGTCCATCACGTCATGTTCTAAATATAACATATGACTTCATGCCCCTGGAGGTTGCACGTTGCTAGGCAATAGCACTTCTACGGTAGACGAGAGGGACCAGCGGATGTGTTCACTCTCACCGACACCATGATTGCTCGTAATCGTTATTGTGATCGTTTCTATTTGCTGTGCGTGCCTCGTGCAATCGTTGGCCTGTGTAAGATTAGTTTGGGGAAACTGAACGCGGTGAGTTTGGTAATATGAAATGTTGTCCCGAAGAGGCATGACAAATAGGAGGGAAAAGGGGAAGCTCTAAATGGCTCTCGTGAGATACTTGGCAACTTTGGATCGTCTGTTTTTGAAGTGTATTTTTGAGTATGAAACGTAATTGCAGTTATGATTAGTCTCCGTTAATTCAATCTGGCTCGAGTTCATTATACTTCCATTTCATTCAATGTGTTAGCTTTCAATTTCGGAAATGGAAAACCCTCCTTAATAACCTTTTCTATTGCTATCATTGCCTGTGGGAATTTCAGCAGACAATAGAAACTGTCGCGAAGAGAATATTGCATTTTTGTCTGATCTTTCATTTATTCCCCCCTTGGGCCTCTTTCTTTATTATATGGAAGGGTTGATTATAATGAACAGAATACGGGAACTGTAGTCAAAGATGCTTTGAAGAAAGTAATCATCGACAACCAGAAATACGGAAAGAACCGATTTCAAAATGATCCGTCTTAGGAAGTAAAGTTTTGCAATGGTCGTTATGGTTGAAAGGGTGGGTAATAATATTCTTTGAATGGCCGAAGGGAGTTAAATTTCTCCAAAGGGCCTATATTTTCATAAGGGGTTATATTTTCACGAAACGTGCAGGGCTGAGGGACGCAAACAATGACGCACCGGCTGCGCTGGTGGTCAATATAACATCGAAAAATGTCCGGGAGTGAAAAATACTAATCACGATCACGTGACGAGCTGTAGCCCAATCACAACTTTGTACCTATAAGAGCTCTCTAATGTAAATGATTAAACACTTTAAAGAGATTATCATGGTTGAAAAACAAATCATCGCTGAAAATGATTATGATGCATGGTTGCAATTAATGTTGCCCTCACATAATCCGATTGCGCTTTGAAGAGATCAACTTAAGTTTACTTGAAAGCTTCGTTGTGATGATGAGCTCATGCACTTTGCAGTCATCAGTGCATCATGCCATGGTATCACATGGCCTTTATCAAATATTACCCCATTTCTCATGCTAGTTTTGCATATTTATCAGTACTCGTGAAAACAAAAACGAGGCTGCCTTTTTGGTCAAAAAAAGTCAGCACGATCATTATTCATTACCTTGATTATAAGAGAAATACAATACGGTTGCCCTTTTTGATTGTGACAGGGTAATTGAAAAGCAGTGGATTATAGGCCTATCCTGTAGGATTCATTTTAAAATAGGATTTATAGCAGATATCATTCAATTACTCTAATTGATTTTGTTGTCATCATCGTGCGTGGTGTGTGTTTGAAGGCTCGTTCGGATATAATAATAATAATAATTAACCGTTCTTGTATAGCGCATAACACATAGTATTAAAACATGTCCCTAGGCGCTCTAGAGAAAAAACATAACAGAATACAAAGACAAGACATACTGGGTAACGGACAAAATGGATGAATTAAATGTTAAATAAGTGCGTCTTTAAAGCAATCTTAAACTTAACAATGGAGTCAATGTTTTTTAGATGTTCCGGGAGATTGTTCCGGGATATAGGGCGGTAAAAACCCTGCAAAAACAAAAAGCCAGTGCCCGTTTTTTTTAAAATGTGTAATTGAACGGCAACTGCGCGCACATTTTCACTGAGCTATGGGTTATATGGTACAGAAATGTTCTTCTTCTTCTTGTTCTTCTTCTTATTTGCGCTCACAATAGGTAGCATACTCGACCTGCTCAAGGCTAGAAGTTTTGCTCTTGAAACGTTTGGATAGTAGAAAGAAATGTTTGTGATGGCATTGTGTTAATGTCAATACAATTCGGCCATGATTCCAAATAAGGACAATTGTGATAATAGATACACGTTTCTCTGTCATACGCATGCAGACAATGGGCAGTCTGGTCACAACAAAGCGTATAGTTTGTGTTTTTATCAAGTGTCAAAAAACATGTCCTCTCCAAGCAGTTTGACGGTGCGAATGAAATGTGATTATTGAAAAACACATATCTTATTTTAATGTACGTGTCACGTGATTAGTTTTCATTTCAGAAAAAGAAACACGGGGTAAGGGTCATTTGCGGGTCAAGTCTTATAGTTACATTGTGAGGAAGTTGAAAAAACTTTATACCTTTTTTTAATTTGTATTACACTGTAAACTCGTACAAACATTTTGGAAAATCATTTAAAGGCTTTTATATCACCTTTTCAAGATAAATATATGTATAAATGAGGAACTTCTAGTGATAGGCTAAACAGTGGACGATGTAACTTACGATATGTAAAATCTTATTTGTAACGTAGCATAATATACAGTCTATCGAAATTATATCAAATGTTCATTTAAAAATACAGCGCAAATTGGGTAAGTAGCTATTAATTTGGAAAAGAAGGTGCAGTTCAGTTTTTTTAATCAATGGTAGCTGTAAAACCTTGATTTATTTGTATTGTATGTGTACATTTAATTGCTAATAAATACCTCGAAAGAAGATGAGAAAAAAGTCTTATAGCTACCATAGCTGGAACGACCCAGAGACAAGTATGATGAAAATGAGTTGGAATAAAAGTAACATCATGAGAAACAAAATTTCTCGTGTAAAATATTCCACAAACATGATGTCATGAGTACAAGTACATTCGAACGTTTAAAAGCAAATATTGCATGGTTCATTTCGAGTGTTTAATGTAGGTTTTTTTCGCGTGTGTGGCATTTTTTCTTCAGTTTTTGAACGTTCAGAATTTAAATTAACATAAAATGTTATGGTTAATGAGAGATCATATCAAGAATCAAGAGACAACATTCTCCCCACTACCCCAGTGGTATTACGTTTCGTGATTGTGCAAGTAGGCCTAGTTTTGTAATCCACTAAAAATGTTCATGATGTTGTGCTGATGAATTCTATAATTACATTCCATGCTGTTTCATTATTTTGCATTTGAATCGTTCGTTTCATTCATTTAGCAATAAATTTCTAAGAGCAATTTCATAATTCGTTTTCGTATAATTGATATATATATCAATACCACGATAACTGATTATTATTATGATACAATTCGACACAATTAATTGGTATTTATTGATTGTTTATTGTGGTAAAACTTCAACAATTTGGTCCTCGAACGCAATGGTAATATTTTCCACTCGTTGATTCATCCATGCATTATCAAAATGCTTAAGTAAAATGATCTTCAATGAGTCCGAGCACATTTCAAAATAAAGATCAGCATCATAGTTTACGGTTTTATTATAAATGTTTAAGACTGGTATCATTAGTGATTGGACCGAGACCGCCTTGATCAAGACAGTCCAAGCTACCTAACCACATCGAACAGATGTAGGAATGAAAATGGGAGAAGATTTGAATATGAAAGCTAATTAATACTATAGTCATAGTGGTTTGATTGTAACTGGTAAGAATGCAGGTGTTTTATATAATAGAGAGTTTCCACCCTGTGGACGGGAAGTCCCTGCCGGGAACCTCACCGCTGACTCACTTACCACAATACAGTGACTGACGGACTGCTTTAATACAAGGAGGGAGAGAGGGAGGGAGACAGGGAGAGAGAGAGAGAGAAGGAGAGGGAGAGAGAGAAGGAGAGAGAGAGAAGGAGAGAGAGGGAGAGAGGGAGCGAGGGAGCGAGAGAGGGTGGGGGGAGGGAGAGAGGGAGGGAGGGAGGGAGGAAGGAAGGAAGGAAGGGAGGGGGAAAGGGAGGGAGAGATAAGAAGCTAAGGAGGGAGATGGAGAATGGGGAGTGAGGACAAAAATAGAAAGAGAAGTTCATGGTCTCTAAGTATTAGAGACCAACTAAAACAGATCAGAAAGGTACAAATGGAAGAATGGAAGAATGGAAAGCAAGATTAAAATATATTGACAACAAGGAGAGCATCACTATTGATTAATTGGAAGGATAAATGAATTCCAATAGTGTTAAATCTAAATCAAAATGGCACAATGAAGAAGAAAAAAAAAAAAAAACAGAGAGAAAATTCAGTCCTGAAAGAATGAAAGTAGAGTTCAAGAAAGATTTCGAAAGAAAAGGGAGGGGGGGGGGGGGGGGTAAGGTGTAGCATGACCTCATCGTTCCTCTTACATCGTTCTCTCCGTCGAAAAAAACACAAATCAGAACGAAATGCGTGCGAGCTCTCCGGGGTAGACGAACGCGGTGAACGAGTGCGAGGTAATAAGAAGGGGCAAATCACGGAGTTGTCGAAGCTCATTCCGCTAGCTGAACTCTTTCCCGCGCATTCTCTGTCCTCTCTGCATATTTACACAGTAGTATTGGGAGCAATGTGACACGTGTAAGTCGTATGTCTCGATCAGCAAGACGAGTTGTGAAAGTAAATGGGCTAATTATTTGGATTTCAGGAATTTTTAGCGCATATATTTGATAGTTATGCGATTTATTTACATGTAATATCTTCATTTATTTTGTATGCATTGCTTTTTATGCCCATGCAGTTACTTATACAGTAACATTCATTTCTGACGTAATGTTACTTTTTGACACTACGTAGTAAAACTACCATGGACCTAAATGTACGTCCCATTAACTGTGTACAAACCGGAGCACCACTTTATCCCGAGAATGCCTTGTGTTTTTTCTTCTTCAGGTTGCGGTTATGGAAGCTTGACAGCTAGCATCAGGGGGAGTGCTGACCGATTTTATCACGATCCAGGCAAGGTTATTATCATACGAGGGAGAAAAAAAAACAGGACAATATAAATATTCTGTGCAGCATTTGGATACACGAAGGGTAAGCTTTGACAAAATTATTCATAATGTCTTTTGATAATGATGATCTTGCTAGAAATGGTATGAAATGTTTATGCCTCATTCTTGTGAAGACGTGGTTGTTGTTTAAATGATTTCTTTTTTGGAGGGGAACCTTGTCAGAATAAAAAAATATATTTCGTCAGTAAGTGATGGCTATCCATTGTGTGCGTTAATAATGGCATAATTGTTATGCGAAAGGAGTATACTATGGGATGGAGTGATGTGAGATCTTAATCAGCCCGTCTGCACTATCTCGAGATTGCCAAATATCCAGCTATTTTGAACTATCCCGATCGAAACTATCCAGCTATTTGCGTCTTCATTAGACCGAAGTGGCAAATTAGCTGGATAGTTGGTCGGGATAATATCCCAAGATATCTCGGTCTAGTTTGCAAAATATCCTTCTATTTCCGAACTAGCGGGATAGTTTGCGACCGTCTTCATTAGACCGAAGTACGGAGTCAATTATCCCGATCCCATCATGCACAACGATTTCCGGTTCGCACATGCGATCTATACCGCTCAGCGCTGACCTCGCAACCACTGACCTCGAGTAAACACGGAAAACCGCAAACTAGACCGAGATATCTTGGGATATTATCCCGACCAACTATCCAGCTAATTTGCTACTTCGGTCTAATGAAGACGCAAATAAGCTGGATAGTTTGCGATCGGGATAATTCAAATAGCTGGATATTTGGCAATCTCGAGATAGTGCAGACACGACTTATTATATTGGTTATCAGTGAGAACATAATCATGACACCTTTTGGGGTCGTTGTTATCAATTCCATTTGATCGCTTAATCGCTGTTAATGTAAAAATCATAGAAGTATACTATACGTTGAATACCAAATGTTTGACCATCGAATTATAATATCTAATAATGAGCTGAAAACATCGTGACTTGCATAATTATATATTTCTGACAAAAATATTGACACTTGAACGGGTAGTGCTATTCAGTGAATCGTACATTTTGTAACTATATACACCAAACCGGATTGCGTTGATTAGTGCCCTACCTGTGACAGACGTTACATATGCATTGTCATGGCAACCGAGGTAAAACGCCCGAGCGAATATACAGAAAATGCATACATTTGCACAAGGTTAGAATAATGATAGAAAGGTGCTTGAAGGTGTACGTTTGATATAAGAGATGCTTTAGATTCCCGAGTACAAGTTGTTTTCTGGGGCCGGGCGGTGCAGAGGAGGGGCTGAGGGGTTGTATAAATTATGTCAAATATTCGGTTTTGTCGGTGCAATTAAAAGCGCAACACACATTAATCATGCAATTGCATTTTGCTTCATAATAATAGACAATAGAGAAAATAAACCTCACCTATTCTACTTAAATTTCACGTCTTTACTGAAGTAAAAAAAATTAATTATATTTAATAATTATATTTGCTTATAATTATAGCGCCCAACACTTACTTTATCAGAAGTCTCTAAGCGCTCTACAATAATGCAGCATAGAAACTGCCCAAATAGAGGGCAATTATGAGCACGGGCCGATTGTGCCACCCCCCCCCCCCCCCCCCCCCACCACCACCCCTCTCCGAAAGAAAGGGTTACAAATCCTGTAGTGGCATGGAATAAACCAAACTGAAACTAACGCCACTGTTTCAGTGTATTATTGACAAGTGACACATCAATCAATATAACATCGAACTAGCTACGGTTTAACCTGTCTGGCACAGTGGCACTGTGATATTTATTGATTTTGATTATTGTCATGGACCACAGTCTGAACTGACCTTAACCTGCACTTGAATGATTCAGAATACCGTACTTTACAGTTAAGATCATTATGATGATGCACTTAAACCGTTTATACAGTAGCGGATTTAAGGGGGCCAAATTAGGACAAATTGTTGCCCCTAATTGTGTTATTGTGCGCCCCTTAAAATAATTATGGATAAATCCTTTGTTTATATAATCCTTTGTTTATATGATTAAGATTTCATATTGCAGCTTTGTTGTGTCGTAAGTTTGATAGTTGGGGAAAAACAAAATACAGTACAGGTATGCATATGCTTATCGTCAGACAAAAGGCGGATATACAAACAAACAGACAAACAGACAGGCAGGCAAGAATCAAGATAAAGAAAAATGCTGAGCTATGATTTCAGTAAACGCTCCAGAATAATAATGCTTGTATTGGGAGCGATCAGGTTCAATCTAATTTAAACATACCGTATGGTTTTTCAATCAGCGGCAAGCATTTACCGTCTGCTTAAAAACAGCCATCACATTATCACTGAAATAGGTTGTGGCAAGCCATTCTATTACTCATCCTGCAAAGCAATAAAGGACTTACAATTCAACAGGTTTAAAACCATGTAAATACAATTGTATGCAATATGTTTCTTGATGAACTTATTATACTCTCATTGAGTAGACTGATGAAAAATTGTTACCCGACAATGCATTGTTTTACATAGCGGAATGAAAGCTTTAACAATTCTGATTTAATTTCTAAATAAGAAACATTGAAGCCTTCTTATCTCACGAATGGCTCATTTAGAACATGACAACTAATAAGAGATTATTATTATTATTATTATTCACAAATACAATACGAAAATGGCCTATTTGCTAACCTATTTTAAGTTAGGCCTGCATTTAAAGTGAGCACTATGTTAGGTTTGTCAATAATTTGTTAATGTTATTATTCGTTGGACTCGGATAACTGAGTCCGTTCTTCTTCTGAAAAGGGAAGCTGTTATTACATGTACGTGACTTCAATGGATAAATATACATGTTATAAACACATCGAAACAAATTGCAAAGGGGAAAAAAGGGTAAAATAATAATTATTAGCTGGTACAACTGTATATCTTATTCTTTGAAAATGCGCCCGTGATCTACATGTATATCTAAATTCTCCCAAGTGACGAATAAGTATCTGATTATTATATTAATCTGATGTTACATATTTTATTATTCCAAACTTCCAAAGTATCCGTGATACTTGAAGCAGTGATACAAAATTAAAGATGCTTAGAAGCTGCTGTAAATTGCACACCATATTAATGGCGGGGTGATCAGTTAAATCGATTGGGCGTAACGCGTTATCTGACAATTTAATACGATGATGCTTTCGCTTGACTAGGCAAGATGTTTCTGTATCGGGACATTTCTGGTTGGATACCGAGGTACCGTTATTAAACTGTTACCTGGATTGTGTACCATATAATTATTTAGATGTAGGTATACAATGTGTGTTTGTACTTGTATTTAATCAAATCAATTTCATTAACATTGAATATAATGGGGGAAAATTATGATGTAATTTTTTCCAATCATCCAGATATTCAGATATTCAGATAAAATGTATTGGTCCATTTGGAAATTCAGTTGTTGGCATTACGTAAAGCACATGAACAATATACAATAGAGAATAATAAACACAAATAGGTAATACAAAGTGGCAAATGCACAATGACATAATTATTATTCTTTTTAAAAGACCCGATTTTTTTGTCACCGAGAAAATCTATCGTTTGTTTGAAGCCAGAAAGGCGTGTAATAATTACATTGTGGCTCAATGCCCTTTTGTCTCCTAACAGATGTTATGAAGTATACTGCCCATTGTGGTTTATTCATGTAAGCTGTGCCTGTTACTTGTATATCCATGTTGCGTTGTCGTTGTCCAAGCCTTATGATTACTATAACGATATCATTAAAACGGATATGCCATAATAAACATAAACAACCACTGATACATTTTCGTATAATAATAATAATAATGATAATAATAATACTCAATTTTTATATAGCGATTATTAGAATCACTAGGCGCTTCCAAACTTGGAGATTATTACCCCGAGGGGGGGGGGGGGGGGGGGGGGGGAGGGGGGGGGGGGGCTACGATTTTTTTTCTTCTATATAGATCCGCCTATATATAGCTATAGTATTCACATCTCCCTGGTATGACCTGTACAGTAGAATGAGTTTGAAATTGTGGGTGGGTGTTAACGAATCCACGTTGACTGTCTGAGCGATGTCGGTTCGTCGGCTGAGGATTGAATTGTGAAGGTCATCCGTGAAAGGTGAAGGTCACTCATGTCCAACGCACACAGTCATGACGAACTTCACGTCTGGTAGAACAATCAGGAGATTTACTGCCATCAAAGCACAAACGATCACGACCAGAGCGATGGGATGCGTACACCAGCAAAGAAAGGAGATGGAATCAAGTTTACTTTATTCTATAGAGTCTGGGAGCAGTATATTTTCAGTGAGGTACGAGGGGCAGAAACTTATGCTAGGGGATTCCCCTACCTATGCGTAAGTCTAAAAGATATTGATTTGACCACCGAACTGAGACCCCTCCCCCTTCCCCCTGTGGCGCCCACAACTTGAACATCTCTCTTCCGGTAATCTATGATAAGATAAACGTTTTTGATTACTTTGTTAGTATTCTATGTTATAAAGCTGAGATCTTGTAGTTGTTGTCTTATTGGTCTTACCAACGTGATAGCCCCAGTGTGGGACCATGGACCCTACCACACATAAGACCATCTTTACCTCCTCCATTACTTTCTGCATACACACCTCATCTTCTGACAAAATGACTTTATTTTAAAGACACGAGTAAGAATTTGCTCAGATGCGTCGTATTTTGAGGAAATCCATCTCGTGTAGGAAAGCCTTTGGTACTGCACATTATCAAAATATTATCAGAAAGGCATATAGTCCCTTTTACTCATCACAAAGGTTCAAGATAAACGTTTGTTTCCATCTTGAAAACAAAAATATTAATATAGCTGTACAGAATTATTTTATTTAGATATGAATGTAATAAAATGACGTCGCATGGACTACAAGTAAGCTTTGTTGAGCATTTAATTCTAATATATGTCGAAAGTTTGACTTACTGAATGAAAATATGTTGTCGATCAAACGGATTTGTTTCTTTACTTTAATATTCAAAAGAGTTAAAGAATAAAGCACAGTCCCGTTAGAACG